GGCAGGCACTGGGGCCAGGCCGCACCCCAAAATAATCTTTGGACCACCCCAAACGACACATCCCCACGCTCTGGGGACTGGGCCCTGCAAGGTGACACGCGTGTCACACCGAAAATGAGGTTTGGACCACCACACCTCATACACCACCACATTCACTGGACTCTCCCCTTCGAGGGGACATATGCGGTGTGCTGGTCCAAAGCGTGGCCTGTGAATGTGGGGGTGTATGTGGTGCGGTGGTGCAGCAGAAGCTCGTGGCATCAGAACCGGTGTTTGGACCGGGCATCTCTGCGTGTCACCTTGCAGGGCCCAGTCCCCAGAGCGTGGGGATGTGTCGTTTGGGGTGGTCCAAAGATTATTTTGGGGTGCGACCTGGCCCCAGTGCCTGCCAGTGTGACTGTCCTGGGGGCAGCGCGCTTTGGAGCAGCTGGCACCAGACCCGCGCTTTGGACCAGCACACCGCATATGTCCCCTCGAAGGGGAGAGTCCAGTGAATGTGGGGGTGTATGAGGTGTGGTGATCCAAACCTCATTTTCGGTGCAGGGGCCACTTCCTTATTCAAATTTGAAATACAGGCCTCGGGGGAAAGCCTGCAAACTGAAGCTGGTGCAACAGAAGCTCGTGGCATCAGAACCGGTGTTTGGACCGGGCATCTCTGCGTGTCACCTTGCAGGGCCCAGTCCCCAGAGCGTGGGGATGTGTCGTTTGGGGTGGTCCAAAGATTATTTTGGGGTGCGGCCTGGCCCCAGTGCCTGCCAGTGTGACTGTCCTGGGGGCAGCGCGCTTTGGAGCAGCTGGCACCAGACCCGCGCTTTGGACCAGCACACCGCATATGTCCCCTCGAAGGGGAGAGTCCAGTGAATGTGGGGGTATATGATATGTGGTGGTCCAGACCTTATTTTGGGGTTCAGAGCTTTCTAACTCACTCTCTCTAGTGTTTCTGAATGACTACACAATAAGTAACGAATAAGGAATGAATAAGGAAGTGCGAATAAGGAACCAACTTCAGCCTCCTTCTTCTAGGGGTCTGGCAGCTGTGTGTCATCTTTTAGAACAGGGATCCATGGGCGTCAATGCGCCCGCCCACCCGTCCTGCCCTCCCTTGTCATAGAATCATGGAATCATAGAATGTTAGAGTTGGAAGGGACCTTGCAGGTCATCTAGTCCAACCCCCTGTCATGATCTGCTGAAGTTCACAGAATCCTCATTGCCATCGAGCCTCTGTTGGAAAACCTCCAAAGAAGGAGAGCCCACCACCACCACCATGTGGGGCTTCGATACTGAGCCTGGTCATTGGTCCCACCGGTTGAGTCTCATGTGCTCAGGCAGGCGCCAGGTCCGAAGGGAGGCGGGCAGAGTCACATCGGTGGTCCAAGGAGCCAGAGAGGCAGTTGCTTGGGATACACTTCCATTGGGGGCCCACAACCTCTCCATACACTCCAGTCCACGGAGTCCGTCCTCCAAAGCATCCCCTTTCTCCAGTGGAGCTGACCTGTCATCTGGAGACGGGTGTAATTCCGGGGGATCCCCAGGTCCCACCTGGAGGCTGGCATCCCTCTCTGGCAAACCCTCCATAACAGTTCCGGCCCCTCCTTCTTGTACCGTTTGTTATATATTTATTTACTTTATATCCCTCCCTCGTCGCCAAGGCAGGCTCAGGGCGGCTTACACGGGGTGCATAAAACAATTAAAACCAGGGCTATTTTTGGGCAGGAAGGCACAGGAACGGAGTTCCGGCTGGCTCCCGAGTTGGCCACACCCAGCAGGAACTCATTAGCATAATAGGCCACACCCAACAGCAGAAACTCATTCGGATTGGCTACAGTAGGGGTGTGTGGCCTAACATGCAAAGGAGTTCCTGCTACAAAAAAGGCCCTGGGTTTGGACCACAAACAAGGTAAACAGAATAAGAAGGGAAAGGTGGGTGTGGCTGGATGAGCACACTTCTGGTAACACGGGGGTGCGGCCTAATGTGCTAATGAGCTGTGCTGTCAGGGGTGTGGCCTAATATGCTAATAAGTTTCTGCTGTTGGGTATGGCCTATTATGCTAATGAGTTCCTGCTGGGCTTTTTCTACAAAAAAGCCCTGATTAAAACATAAATTAACAGAATGAGAACAATACAGTTAAAAACATAATATAATATAAAGTGCTAGTTTGTATCAGATGGCGGGCATTGGAGGAGAAGGAGGAGGAGATTGGATTTATACCCCGCCCTTCACTCGGAGTCTCAGAGCGGCTTACAAACTCCTTTCCCTCCCCCTCCCCACAACAGACACCCTGGGAGGTAGGCGGGGCTGAGACAGCTCTTTCCAGA